GCTGAGCAGGGAGCCCGATGCGGGGCTTGATCCCAGGACCCTGGGATCATGACCTGAGCCGAAGGCAGATGCTTAACGACTGAGCCACCCAGGTGCCCCTAAAAAAATGTTTTGAAGGAAGGAAAAGCTAAAAATCAAATAGGGAACCAGACAGAAACTGCAGGCATCAGTAGTCACATCAAAGCAGGTACAAACCTACAAACTTCTTTCTCTTCCAAGGTGTCATTAAGCTGCAGGAGAGATCCATGCTGGGTGCTCACCGCCCCCGCGGCAATGCTAGGCTTCCCGGGTCTCCCACTCCAGGAAACATTTACCAGAACCTGAAACAAGCACTGTACAACAGAAACACAAGCAACTGTCAGAGGTGTCTGAAAGGCCGCTGCTTGTTGGTGCACATGAGTATCCCCCTGAACTCTTGAGATGACTTTTCCTTCATCCTTATAAAAAAACTTAAATTCCAATAACTTAGGTAAAATTTGCCTATATCACTATATGTAAATTTTTCACATAATGAACAAATACAGCATATACTGTCTTGCATTCCATTGTTTTACATATTACATACAAGTAAATTTCCATGATTTCTTCAAAAGCTTCTCTGTGAACAGTACTTATTAATGCCACTGGGATTTATTATCTTATCTAATGGGGAGGCTCAGACTGACAGATTTTCTTTTTCTTTTTTAAGATTTTATTTATTTGAAAGCAAGAGACAGCACGAGCAGGGAGAGGGGCAGAGGGAGAAAGAGAAGCAGGCTCCACTGAGCAGGGAGCCTGATTCAGGGCTTGATCCCAAGACCCTGGGATCATGACCTTAGCTGAAGGCAGACGCTTAACTGACTGAGCCACCCAGGCACCCCTCAGACTGACAGATATTCTTCAGTGGAGTTATTAAAGAATGAACAGTCCTTAATCTAAGGGACTTCTGGGCTGTCCCTGTAAGACCCATACAGGGAATACTATCCTAAAACAAGGAAAGATACTTGACAGTCATTTGCCCTATTTCTAGTTTCTTTCTATTGCATTAACTTTTTTTGGCTTATTTATGCTTCATAATTAAACTAAATAACATCTATGAGAATATGTTGATCATACAATTTTCTTATATATCACATAATTTTCTTGGTATACACCAATGACACAATCATTATAAATATACCATAACTAAATAAGATAGATAATCCAGGTTTTAAAGTACAGAGAGTGTTGCAAACAGTACTCAAAAACTAAAACCTTTAAAACACAAATTTAAAAAAAATCAACAAAGAGCATATACGTACGAAGGTTACTGTCAATTGGATTCTTGTTGACAACGATGTCACAAGCAATTTCATTGACTGCATTATGGGTGTGCTTTACCAAGAGTGAATAGTTTCCAAATTCTCCAAATTTGTATTCCAGCCTATAAAGACATGGTAAAATTAAGAAAAATGGCTAGATTAAGACATAAGGAGTTGGATTACGGTAATGTCATCAAGGCAGAGTGACAGGCATTCCTGAGGGCAGACTGGGAAAGATATAAAAAAATGGGTTTTGCTTTTTTGTTTGTTTGTTTTTTTAAGATTTTATTTATTTATTTGACAGAGAGAGACACAGCCAGAGAGGGAACACAAGCAGGGGGAGTGGGAGAGGGAGAAGCAGGCTTCC